ATACATACACACACACACACACACACACACACTAATGTCACTGTTATCAAATTGCATTGGACCAAGTAGTTGACAAAACCTTGATTCTTCTATTTAACAGCTGAAAAAGAAAAATGTCATTCACTCTGCACAATGAACTAAGCATTTCAATCTAGATTTGACCATTTACATTTATTTAGCAACACAGTACAGTATGTTACAGAAACAAGTTGCACCGCAGTGCTTTAAGCACCTCGCAACCTTTTGAATAACTCAACTGATGAAAAGGCCTTTTTACAGTATATGGGGTTGTTGTTTAACAGTTAAACAACAACAACTAATAAAATCATATTTTGTTGCATTGAACAAGAATTCACAGCATCCCTTGCACAAGATTACTATACACATTTACACATGCAGTTTTCTAAAACATAGCCAGGTATACAGCAGTATGCAGAGTAAGAGATGAAATATCATATTCCACTCTCGTCAGGAAGGTGCATTTAAAAAAAAAAAAAACTTCAACAATGCAGGGCATAGCAATTAGTATTCTCTTTCCTGCTTTAAAGAAAGTGTCAAATAATTATATTCTTCTCTTTGCTTTTGCAGCAAGTTCCCCACCTGTTATTATTACTTAACAGTGGGTTAGACTCTACATTTAAGGTCACATGGTTTAACATTTTAAGCCAATTATTTACAAATTGTGCATACATTTAAAACTTGCTTGAGATAAGCAAAGTCTGACTTCCTTGCGACGCAGTAACTGACAACATTAACTAGCTGACAAATACACCTTAGGCAATTAAATGAAGTTTGAATTCTGCAAGTTGAGGAACTGTACTAGTATAAACTGAAAAATATATGCATGCATGGTAGGAAATGCAACAGTTTCTAGGCCAAAAAACAAAACGATAAGCATGGTCCTTTAACTGGACATAAGACAACAATGTTAATTATTTCCTTCGAAATTCAAAACAGTAGGACATTGACCTCGACTTACTGCAAATTAACAGCTGGTATAAGTTGCAGACTTTACACCACCTCACAAAAAACAGGCATGAACAGAATCTCTTCAACGTCTTCTACTCTCTGCTGGACCAGCCAGATGAGTCAGGAGAGCCATTCAACATATTGTACATATGGCGCTGTCGGGGCTTTCCTTCATGTTAAGACACAATTAACAAAAAACAGACAGTGAGTTGATGAGTCACAGTGTGTCCATTGGGCTGAGAGGCAGTCAGGTTCCATGTTAAGGTTGAGGGAGAGATAGAAGAAGAGCTCTATGACTGGACAGCCCTCTCCCAGTCCCCCCCCTCAGTCCTGTGGTAGAGCTGTGGCTGACCCCCGGGGAACAGGCTATCGGAGCTAGGGTGCTCTAAAAGGAACTGAATGGTGGACTTCATGTGCTGGACGAAGTGTGGCGGCTCAGCCATTGGCGAGGTGGACAGGTACTGCGCGTGAGAGAGAAATAGCAGAGTCAAAGTCTGTATTATGTCACTTTCTGGACTGCTGCTTCACAATCACACTGGGACATAACCGAGGGCTTGAATAAAACATGAAAAATAGTGTAACAAAGTGTTTAAGTAGATTACCTTATAGGACTACTAATCACTTCCACATTCCTTTACCTTCAAAATTGTGTCATCACTTTGTGACAACCAGAAGGCAATATCCAGATTTGGAGACCACTTGCAAGGGCCAATTTTAACAAGTCCTTTACTTGAGTCATATATGTCAGCCATCTGCAAGACAACCCACCCCAAAAAAACAAACATTCATTTTACTAATTATCTTTTCAATGACTTTTATTTTTGTTTCGTGATAACATGCCCTCTTAGTTCTACTAAATAAAACAATTACGACATAATTAATTTTACTAGAAAGAGTACATTCTACAGTCTTTATTTGTTTATGATTCTAATCGCATAAAATAGTTGTGATTATAATTCTTTGAAAAGGTGAGACTTAAAATACAGTTGTTGTGCCACACTAGTGGTGTTTTTCCATTTAATATAACATACAGTATTCACACACACACACACAAAAAAAGTATTTTCTGTGTTACAGTACCTGTCCCCCAGTGAAGGTCCTTGCTGATCGCAGCTCCTCTGCAGGTCCTTTATGAGGGAATGACGAAGGGAACACTTCTCCTGTTTTAACATTTACACCTGCGCAGAAACAGATGTGGACACAATATATGAGAGGTCACATGTCATGAGAGCATTGCATCCCTCACTCTGCAGCATATTCATCACTTACCAATTCCATATATTACAGGCCTATGAGTTCCATCAACAACAATGTCATTCATTTCTATAAAAACAGAGAACAGATGGGTTGATTGGATGAAAGCATGACTGGTAGAATATTTCTAAACAATAGTAAACAAGCCAAAGCAGGTATCAAAGTTACCTGTGATGCAACATGTTTCCAGATGAATATCCTCTTTCTGTTTCTGGAATGTTGCTATAAAGTGAAAGAGAACATTTCTAAGTGTTTAAAATCTCAAATGGTGCCTGCAAAATATTACAATGATGTCATTTAAAAGACTGTACCCAGTATGTTATGGCTGAGTTCATGAGATGTTTTTGACTCGTCATTAAATCCCCCGACAAGATGCAGCTCAAGCCTGCGTAACAGAAAGCAAAGGAAAGGAAATAAAGAACATCTGAATAAAAGGAGCACTTTTATGTTTGCCTGTTTCTTACCTGCCCTCCTTACTGACGTTACTTAGTGACATGACAGCTCTCACAAGGAGCGGGACTTCTGACCTGGTGCTGGAACCATCACAGTGAGCAAGGCAAACAGCTCCACTTCCTAATGGTGGACAAAAAAATGTAATTCCTAACTACATACAGGCATAATATGCCACACAGCATAAACGAATGAAAACAACATTACCAGTGTGTCGCAGCACAACCAAATGGCAGGTGGTGGCATCATCAGATCCAATTACTGAAACACTGTCTGTGATGGGTAAGAAAAAAAAAATCATACATTATTATTATGATCCAGAATGGTTAACCTAGAGGATTATCTGGGAGTTAGAGGCTAACAAATGTTGTAATTGTAGGATTTCATACTAAACAGTCCAGTCCAGGAAAATTCCCCAGTGCTCTTTCTTCAAAGAAACATATACTGTGAGGCTTCTGTTGATGGAAACACTGAAGGATTGAAGATCTATTCAAATCATCAGGCTTTACTTACTGTCTTCTGGTGTTGTTGCAGCAAACTCTCTCTGTTGGACATACAAGAGGCACTTTGGGTCGACATCCACAAGTGGTTTGGAGCGAAATGTTCTTGCATTTTCCTGTGAAATAGTAGTAATTGTGTATATCTTAAAAAATGTCATATTGACCCCTAGGCTTTCTGGATTTGTCACATTAAAACCAAAACACCATCAGGCTGTGGTATTCATTAGTGTTACTTAATAGTTATCAATACAGACTGTAAACCTTGTTCTTTGGAAGCTGTCATAGAGAAGGAAATGTAGACTAATCAAAACTTATTTTTCAACTGATGAAAGCCAGGACTTAACTTACTGGATTTCCCTCTCTCTGTATAAAAACAATAAACACCTATCTTATGTCAAAAGTATTTTCCACAAAGACCAGACAGGAGTCATCAAAGGTTTGTCAATCAAGTGAGCTATCCTTATCTTGTAGTTTTTTTACATTTTATTTTAGGGCACAACATGCACGGAATTGAGAATCAGTCACGCTTATTACCAAAGATATCAAGATGTGTTTGCTGTTACCCGCCATGAGTTATTTGGATCTACCACCACAGTCCCGTTCATAAATCAAAATGTAAAGCAAATTACCATTGCGCTCTAGCTTTGAAGTGATTCCTTGTTACAGAGTATCGTTAACCGGTGATGGCTGCTATCTCAGCAAGCTATATTTAGACACACTACTTGGAAACAAACCTGTAAATGTGGATATTTTTCGAACAGTTCCCCCGTCGAGCTTATGCGGCCAAGTCCTCTATTTTGAATTAACAAAGGCATTTCCTTAAGCAAGGCGCAACTCAAATCACCTGGTTACCATACTATTATAAAGACAATTATAAGTTAACTTTATATATTCTTATTATCTCATATTATATAAATATCGGTTTTAACTTCCTGGAAGGCTGTCGTCTTCTTCTTCTTCTACTGTTTCAATGGAGGAAGAGGCGCACAGTTTCTGACACACCGCCACCAACTGTTAAAAAGCACGAACGCGTACACGAAACACATTCTCCATTATTATTTGTACGTAGTGTCCGTATTAGCGGAGCGAAGCTACGTAGATTTACTAGCTGAAGTTACGTTGCTAAAGAGGGCAGGGGACGAGGGAAGGAGGGTGATAAGCGGCTGTTTAGCTACGTGACGCATCCAGCGATTATTTGACTAAAACCGTAAAACACGTATTTAAGCGTACAACGTGACAACGTAAACAAAACGGTGTCAAACGTGAAAATCTACGTTAAAGTTAGAAATACTACGGAGAGGATAGTAGTTTTGTCGCGATAATGAGAGGCGTTTCTTCATATGGGGACAGAGACAGGGACCGTGGACGAGACAGGTAAGTTTTTAGTTCTTATATTTAAATAGCACACACTTTTATCACATCTTTAGTGTCACACGTGTACGACAGTCAGTTTGACCCACGACCATGGTCGTTTTGAGACTCTACTGTTCTCTGAGCCGATGAATGCAACACGATCGCAGAAAAGCTCAAACTTCCTGAAGGCCTCTCTTCAGTTTGTTGTTGCTTTCACAGTAAACATTGCGCTAAGTTAACGGCGACCTTAAGGTGGCGCCATGTAATCACCAAATGAAAAAAAAGAAAAACAAAGAAGTAAGGACCACGATTTACGTTATGTTTTTGAACTTTTATATTGACCTGATGGTGGCGCTGAAGGTCACAGGGGTCAATTACTTTGTTTCTTCTATAGGAGTGTGGAAATTACAGAATAAATGTTATAGCTACATCCATCATAGTTTTATCAATTTATATATGTTTGGTGAACCAAAGTGTGAACCCTCCGGACCTGCAGACTGAGCAGACTCTGGTAATATTACACTCACCTGAAACACTGAGCCGGACTGAATCTGACTGCACATTTGAACACAAAAACTAGACATCATAACATACAAAGGCAAATGAATAGGTCAAGGCATATCTAACTTCATTACACAATTGCACATATAGATCAAAAATTTAAGAAACAGATAAAACTCTTGAAATAAATATAGAACATTTAGGTTACGTACGTAAATTGTGCATCATCTGTAGACTGGTAGACAGAGGTAGCGGACCACATACATAAAGTCAGCACGAGCCCCCTTTGTGGACTATGTGAAATACAGAATTGCCACTTTAGACTTCATGAGAATAATGATTCCACATGTCTGGGCGTATGGATTAAGCCATAAATACATTGGTCACAGACAAATCCAAAAGACACACAGAAATTATCATCACAAGCTCTTGGGTGAAGGTTGTAACTGCACTGTTGACATAACAACGGTGGGTAGCGAGTTATTGGCATGACCTAAGCAAACGTCAAATATACACTGAATTGTACAGTACATTGCTGCAGGTAATGCTGCAGCCTGCCTTGCTGATTCCCCAGTGCTCTTTATCTCTTGACCCTCAGGCCACGGTTTGGGGCCATGAGCGGTCGCACTGGACCCCCACCAATGAAGTTTGGGAATCCAGGTGAGCGTCTCCGCAAGAAGAGGTGGAACCTGGACGAGCTGCCAAAGTTTGAGAAGAACTTCTACACTGAGCACCCTGAGGTCCAACGCATGAGTCCGGTAAATCTTCTTTTTGCTCTCTCACACTCACCTACAATAAGTGAATGTTATTTTTAATTTTTATAACTATAATGGTGGCCATTATCACTTGTGTTTTAGCTGCAGACAATGTTGATCAACAGAGCAACAAACAGTAACACATTTAAACACATAAATAATGATTTCCAGTCATGCCAGATGTCATGATAATTTTAATTTCTTTAGAAAGTCAGAATAATTTCAGCAGAAGGTATTCTAAAAAATATAAATCATTTATACACCATATCCAAATGTATGTTTTCTTTCTTTTCTTTCTTTTTCCTCTTTTGCTGTCGTATCCAGTATGAAGTGGAAGAATATCGCAGAAAGAAGGAGATCACCATCAGAGGCTCTGGCTGTTCAAAGGCGATCACTGCTTTTCACCAGGCGCAGTTTCCTCGTAAGTAAACATTTCACAAACTACGGTGGATGCACAACTACTCTCTGGGAAGCATAGCATATACAAAGATAATTCATTCATTCATTCCAGCATCTAGGGACTTCAAGATTAAATTTGGTAAATTTAAATAAAACACCACAACTGCTCTAAATTACTAGTTGCAGTGTTAGTAAAATGTGTTAAAGATAATATTCTGATTGAACATCTGAAAGATAAAAACCAAAGCAACAGTACAGCTGTGTAACTATCTTGTTGACTGTCCCTCCTTCTTCTGGCAGAGTATGTGATGGATGTGCTGATGCAGCAGAACTTCAAGGAGCCAACAGCGATCCAGTCTCAGGGTTTCCCTGTGGCCCTGAGCGGCAGGGACATGGTGGGGATTGCACAGACGGGCTCCGGAAAGACGCTGGCTGTAAGTCTGCCTGGCCACTTTCATCATGCATGATGATCACATTTATTCTGAAGTTCATAAAAATGTTAATTACATGGCATATTTATGTTAAGAGTGGTACAGCTAAACATTAAATTAAAATAGAAATACATGAACCATAAAAGAAACACAAGAACAAAACGCAAATCAGTAACGACAGTACAACTGCAGAAAGACAATGTTTAGATAATCCAAGACCCTAAAAAATATTTTTAAAGGGATTCGTAGGAGAACTAATTAGTTTGCCAAATTTGCTTTTGTTCCCTGCAGTATCTTCTTCCTGCTATTGTACACATCAACCACCAGCCCTATCTGGACAGGGGAGATGGTCCAATTGTGAGTGCAAATTCCATGTGTCTTGTGAGAACGAGTGTTTATCTAAATCCCACTACCTTACTGTGGGCGTACAATCAATCTGTAAAACCTTCCTCATTCTTCTTCATCCTCTCGTTGTAGTGTCTGGTCCTCGCCCCAACCAGAGAGCTGGCTCAGCAGGTTCAGCAAGTCGCATATGACTATGGCAAGTCTTCCCGGATAAAAAGCACCTGTGTCTATGGTGGAGCACCCAAAGGACCACAGATTCGAGACCTCGAGAGGGGTGGGTGTAGTAGTAGGCGGATCATTATTTTAAATATTTTGAAATTCAAAACCTTTATATTCAAAATCCTGTTCAATATATATTTGTGTACTTTTGAGTGCTTTCCCGGCTTTGGGGTCAGGAACTAAGGCTCCATCCACACTACTGCATTTTCATTTTAAAACGGAGACCTTTTGCTACGTTTGCATCTCCCGTCCAGACTAAAAAGAACGAAGACCTAAAACGGAGATTTATGGTGTTTTAGTGCGGACGGGCAAAAACGGAGGACTTTAGAAACGATGATGCAAACGTTCACGTTTGGGTCTCTGATTGTGTTTTATAAGTCACGCAAAGCAGAAACACAATACTCCCATGTTACATTCAGTAACAGTCCCAGCTCGTTATTGGTCCGTGCAAAATAAAATCTGGTGTGGTTCTTTGTCTGTATTTCTTTATTCTTTCACCAAATCTTCTGTAACTACGGAATAGACCATTGGCTTCATGTTTACAACCGGCACATGCATGCCCAGTGTACGTGAACGGCCACTAGATGTGCTTTTTCAGTCGCTTTAATATAGACGGAGATCAACTCTGATACACAGCTAAAACGCTGCTGTGGACGGAGATCGTATTTGTTTTGGTTGGTTTGGATGGGGCCTAAGTTGTTGGTAGCACAGTGTTGTTAATGAAATTGAACAGCAAATGGTAAAAAACAGAGCTTTATCCTGGTATGTAAATGAACTACACACACACACACACACACACACACACACACACACACACACACCACTCTTTCACATGTGACTTCTACAGCTGTTGCCTGGTATTTTAGCCCACACTGCATTTCCCTGGGAGGTGTGGCTATATGGTCAGTTATTGTTGGACTGCTCATAGAGGAAGTGTTGTACATGAACAAATCAACAACAATCAGAACACAACTGTTTTTTGAATTGTTATGTCTGAGCACATGTCTGAGTGTATGTTTTTATATATTTATTATTTAACATGTTAATTAGGTGTTGAGATCTGTATTGCCACACCTGGCCGCCTCATTGACTTCTTGGAGGCTGGGAAAACGAACCTGCGGCGCTGCACCTACCTAGTGCTGGATGAGGCTGACCGCATGCTGGACATGGGCTTTGAGCCACAGATTCGCAAGATAGTTGAACAAATCAGGGTAGGAAAAAAGCTCAGTTCCCATGACTGCTGAAAATGATCACCTCAACTTGTTGATGTAGAAGTATTTTTTAGTTTAATCTCTTGCATGCTTTCTCTCCTTCAGCCTGACAGACAGACCCTGATGTGGAGTGCAACCTGGCCGAAGGATGTTCGGCAGCTTGCCGAGGACTTTCTAAAGGACTACATCCAGATTAATATTGGAGCTCTGGAGCTCAGTGCCAACCACAACATCCTGCAGATTGTTGATGTCTGCATGGAAACGGAAAAGGACCACAAGTAAGGATAGCCAGTGAGAGAATATGTGACTTGAAGTGACTTTATGTTATGATTATCTCATCAACCGCTTTATTAGTGTTACAGAACAGGAGCTTATCCTTTCAGACAGTACAAACTGAGCTTATTACTGCTGTGCTATGATTGTCTCTCCTTGTCCCTTTCTCCCTGTCTACAGACTTTTTCAGCTGATGGAGGAGATAATGGCAGAAAAAGAGAACAAAACCATCATCTTTGTGGAGACTAAGAAGCGTTGTGATGATCTTACCAGGAGGATGAGGCGGGACGGGTGAGAAATTATGTCTGGTATGAGAAAACATGAAAATAGTAGTTGTAAGATGAGTTATGCAAATATTTGAGAGACTGAAGCAGTTAGACCCCGACCAATAAATTGGTGGATATGAGCTAATTGCGGATAAATCAGTATCGTGAGTGACGGAAGACGGATCCTTCAATGTTACGAGTGTTGACATTGCATAGTT